CCCTGCCCCCAGCCTTTCTTATCTAACGCCTCGGTCATGGTAGCCAAAGAGATGATCCGGCATGGATTTAGGCTAGGGAAGGGACNTCTCGTTGAGGCATATGTAAAACGCCTCGTCTTACGCCCCACGCCTTTTAAAACACTGATAAAATCCAGATTTTTATATTATACGATTGGCATATGTGTTGTATAATTAATGTATAGTTATATATACAATAAATTATATTATGTATATTTGATTTATATTTGAGAAGTATAATTTAGACCTTTATATAATACACATGGCATATGTGTTGTATAATTAATGTAGAACTATATATACAATAATTATTTTATGTATATAGTATAATTTGTATATGAGATGTATAATCCAAGTCTTTATGTTATACAAATGGCATACACATTATATAATCAATGTATAATTATTAAATTCTGTTTATGATTTTCAGTTTTAGTGTGTCCAAATGTCCCTGATTATGTATTTGATGTATGTGATTTTTCCGTTTATTTGAACCAAAGATATTCGTTGGGGTTTGGAAGCGAACGTGATTCTCGGCTGATTTTTTGTGGCCTCTTTTCCTCTTCGTATTGTTTTGTAACGGGTTTTTATTGGAGGAACTAATTAATTTGGCCACATTATTATAAGGTTATGTATAGATTAATTTTTCGGGCTAGGCAGAGTTAAGAATACTAGTGTGCTGGCTATTTGCGTATTTCCCCCCTATTTATGTTTTCGACCCAAATGAACCAGAAAAGGAACAAGCACAACCCAAAATCAAAACAAGTAAACAACAGTGGCAGATCCATACAAAGTGGTTTTACAGAAGTTGCAGATCCATAACCAAAGATGGGTCTGTAATAGTCCAATTAGCTCCACTGCAGTGGTGTAGTCACGTACAGTAAAGAGCGGTCAATTGAATATTTTTTGTCGAAAATTTAGGGACAAGATTGTATATATACAAGATTTTAAATTTATTTAATTTGGTTTTATCTAAGTATTTATATTTACAGAAGGTAACTAAATCTTTTTACAAAATATATACAAATTCGGTCAAAATTTATAATTTATCTACAACTTAAATATAAAATTTGTGTATAGAATCATGTCAAAAACTATAATTTATATACAATTATGTATGTTATATATATATTTTATATATCGTTTCTAGACTCAACATAAAATATATATATATATACAATTTGTTTATGTCTTCTTTTTCGAGTTTCAATATGAAATTCCAACCAAAATCACATAGAATTTTCACCAAATTTTCTCACAATTGAGATATAAACTCCTAAGTTTATTCCCAATCATTTGTAACAACACCAAATCCAAACAAATAACAATTTTGCAAATTTCGATTTTCCAATTCAAAGGTTCTAAGCTTCTAAACTTTATAATGGCTATCAATGGAGTTTAAGCTCATGTATACCCGACCAACTTCAGTTTAGTTTTAGTTACACGGTCAATTAGTTTTTGTTTAGTTCCAAACGCTACTCATGTTCACAATGTCTTGTTTATTCATCTAGAAAAAGTTTTGATAACCCAATTGTGTTGGTGCTTCGTGTATGTATTCTATGGCTTTTAACCAATTGAATCATTTTTCTTCACCATTTTTCAAAGCTCCGAGCATGTTCGTCTACAAAAGTCGAATCGAAGAGGAACTAAGAGAGAAATATCCATACCGAAAAGAAAAATAGAGAAGAATGAAGTCTAAAATGGATAAGATTGGAGTCTAATATATTATTTTGTATATAAATGGTAAATTGTATATACTAATGTAATTAAGTAATAACCCATGTATGAGGGGTAAATAAGTTTATAATGCAGTACAAATAGGTCAAAATTCTGAAAATTTATACTTCTCACTTTTTATTTTTTCGAGATTTAAAATATAAAATAATTGATCAATATTTTAAAATAATTTTTTGATCATATTGATATAAGATGAATTGTAATTTATAGTACTTTTCGTATAGTTCTTGAATATGTAAATTTTAATTTTAAAATATTAAAATAATCTAATCATATTTATCTTTAAAGGTTAATCAAATTGGCTGTACAAAAATTAAAAGTACCATATAAATTGAAACAGAAGGAATATTTTATATATAAAAAATTATACTCTCTATATATATAATCTTGAATATATTGGCGAAATATTTGACATTGCCACTGCCTCACTGTTCAACTGCCAAAAACGTATAATTAATAGTAGTACATTTCATTCTGGACAAAAGTCCAGCGAGAGCAAGTGCCAACAAAAAACTAAGACGGTAGTAGTAAAGATCACAGTAAAGTAAACCGACTTTATTAACAAAGGACGGCTATTCCTTATACTTCTTATTTTCATATGTATTAATTAATTTACTTTTTAGTATTAATTAACAATAAAATTAATTATATTAACCTTAATTTATTTATAAAAAATATAAAAAATATTTCTAGGCTCTTTATTCTAATGACAACTTTGAAAAAAAAAAATTCTTATTGGTATCAGAAAAAATTAAATATTATAGATCACACAAAAAAATCAAAAAAATTAATTAAAGTGAACCAGAGGGAATAGTTCCTTAAGCTATCGAGAATAAGCTGAAAAAAAGATTTGACTGACGCAAATTGGATATTTGAATTGATAACTTATTTGTCTTCTTCTTTTATTATCTCCGTTCACTTTTACTTGACATGTATACTAAAAATATATTTTTATTTTTATTTGTCACTTTACGCATATCAAGAGAAGATAAATTTTTTTTTCCTGTTATACTCACAATATTTATTACTCATTTCAAATTATTTTCTCAAATCTAATAAAATATGCATCAATTAATATGAGTATCATGATAAATTATCCACTTCATTTATTATTTTTTAAGGGGCGTGAAAGAAAAGTCAAAATGTGTCATCTAAAAATGAACGGAGGGAGTACATTTTAGATAAGGATTTTTTAATGAGATTTATAAGCGCCTTCGCATTTGGGTTTTAACAGTCTTTGCGAATATTTTAGAATTGATTGCTTTATGGCGGTGAATAACTTCAAAAAGATTTTACACGTCATACTGTTAATTATCTAGCGATTTATATGAAACTTTTAAAAAGTTAAATATCTGGATCTTGCATATTAAGTATGAAATATCTGGCATTCGTGACATAATAATTTGTGTATTGTTCTATATATGAATTTGGAATTTTTGGAGATTAATGTACATGTAAAGTGTATTGATTATTAAGTATAATGACTATTTGTGTATTTTCCAAAAGTTATTGTGTTTGTAGCAACAAGTAGTTTTTTTTAATCAAATTCCATCATCTCGATGGCGGAGTTAGGCCGGACTCCAACCTGTATATTTCAAAAACTTTGATTACACGGAGGAGGACATACACCTTAGCCTCAATTACATATTGTAGATTAGTAACCACCAATCTAAAGTGCACTTGTGTATAAGAAATTGACAAAAGTCTGATGGACTCCTCTCTACTACTTGATATGTCTATATTCTCAAAAGATGGCCATACATACAGATATGTCCCAAACACGCTATGTGTAATCCTAGTATCAATTGATGATATCATTAACTACAAACAAATTCCTTTTCACTCTGAACCCGAAATTAGGTATTTCCTCTTGCTCAAACTTCAAAGAAGCTCCAACCTCTCTAGCAAGGGAGACAACTTGGTTGAAGATACCATGAGCTTTTGTGACTTTTTCCGGGTTTGCTAATTGATCTGCAATCTTGTTACCTTCCCTGAAAATATGCTTAAATTGAAAGTTTCTTGTTTGAGTCAATTCCCAAATCTGTTCAAGTTCATGTCTGATATGCCAATCTGCCTTTGTTTTCCTATTAATCATATTGATGATTAACAATGAATTTAACTCCACAACAACATTTTCAAACCATGATGGCAACACATCTGGATGCCTTGTAGAACTTCCTTTACCTCGGCAACATTATTACTGCAAATGCCATAGAAATCAGAAAATGCCTTCACTAAATCACCATGATGGTCTCTGATAATCCCACCTCATCCAGCTGAACCTGGATTACCTTTACTGCAGCCACCCACATTTAATTTGACATATCCACTCACAGGTTTCTTCCAGCAAACTATCTGAAAGTGAATTACTGGTGACATCTTCTCTACAACTATGCATTTGTCTATCCAAGACTGAAGGAGTTGAAGATTAGGGAATTGACAGTTAATTATCAACGTTATGGTATTAGACACTTGATGAATGATATGTCTGGCTGACATTCGAATGTTTTCAAAATTTGCTGCACATATGCTCTTTCATATTTTCCAGCATATTAAGGATGGTAAACATTGAAGCATTACAGTGTGGACACCATTGTTGCTCTTAGTCATCCACCATTTCATGAGGTTCTGCCTTATCTGTAAAAGGACAAAACTAATGCCACATGAACTACAGAAAAAGGACCAAACACTTCTGGCTACTTGGTTGTTACTAAACAAATGATCAATGGTCTCCTTCTCATGATTATAACAGCAGTTGCACCTAGATACGGTCACAATACCAAACCTCCTCACAGCTTCATCAGTAGGGATCTTATTTTGAAGTAACCTTAGCATAAAAAATGAGATCTTGAAAGGCATATTTTTATGCCCTTTTTACAAGTGAAAGTACCCCCCTTTGTTTTTCCTGAGAAGGTCCCAAACTGATTTGCAAGTGAAAGCTCCTGTACATTTTGGTAACCAGTATGGGCAATCTTTTCTCCTTTCATCAAACTCCACCTTTTGAATAGTATTGACCACATTCACAAGAGAAGACCTATTAGTTTGTCATGCCTCCAGGTCCCATTGTGTATGAATTCTTTGACCTTTGTATTCTTATAAGCTCTAGTTACCTGAGTCACTGTAGCTAATGCTCCCATACCTGTCCAGTTATCCCACCAAAAATGCACATCTCCATTCCCTAATCTCCAGAAAATAGATGGTTCAACATCCTTCTTGATGTCCATTAATCTTCTCCGTGTATGAGACTAACCATAAGCCCATTTGTTTGCCAAAGGGTGAGACCTCTTGCAATATTTAGCCTCCAGGAATTCTTTCAACATTGTCTTTTGAGTCCTGAAATTTTACCATAATTTAGCAGAAAAAGTATTATAAATATCTTGAAGTGATCTAAATCCAGTTCCTCCCTCACTCACTAGAAAGCACAGATCATTCCAAGCAATCCAATGCCTCTTATTTCTGTTAACTTTCTTCCCCCAGAAAAAGTTGACAACTATTCTGTCGATTTTCTTTAAGACAGTTTTTGGGGGGTGAACTACTGATATCAAGTGCAGGGGTAAAGCGTGTAAAACATACTTGATCAAAATTGCCCTTCCTCCATATGGTAGTAATTTGCCTTGCCACCCTTGCATTCTACCCTCCACCTTTGCCACCATGTTGTTAAAATATATTATCTTTTTCCTACCCACATAATAGGACACCCCAAATACTGTATAGGAAATGGACAATTAGGGAAGCCAGTGATCCTTTGAATTTCAGATATCCTAGGATCATCATCCTGAACAGAAGTATAGAATCCAGACTTTTCTTTATTCAACAGCTGTCCTGAAACTTGTTTATAGAGCCTCAACTTGTCCATCATCATATTTAATGATAATGAGTCGCAGGATGAGAATAGTATGGTGTCATCAGCATAGAACAGATGAGTGATGGTGGGACCCTTCTTTTCTGTAAAGTATGGATTGAATCCTGAGCCAATTAAGCTATCCATAAGTTTTGACAATAATTCTGCCCAATCACAAAGAGGGATGGAGAAAGAGGATCCCCTTGCTTGATTCCTCTACTAGATTTGAAGAAGCCATGCCTAACTCCATTGATATTTATAGAATATCACATATTAGTCATGAGCCTCCACACCATATCTATCAAACATTCTGAAAATCCCATTTGCCTTAGTATTTGACAGAGGTTTTTCCAAGAGACCCTGTCATATGCTTTGGCCATATCCAATTTTAAAAACTACATTCCCAGCAAGTGATGGTTTATTAATATTGTGAACCATATCTTGTGTCAACATAATATTTTCTGTGATAGACCTCCCTATGATAAACCATGTCTGATTAGGAGATACCAATTTTTACATCAGAGGACTCAATCTCTGATTCATCAGTTTAGAAATGATCTTGCATGTATAGTTACTAAGACTTATTGATCTTAGTTCAGTAAAGGACTGCGGGCTATCCACCTTAGGTAGGAGTACCAAACAAGTGTGAGTGAGTGCCTTTGGTATATCAGTACCTGCAAAAAATCAAGAATCATTAGTAGTAGGTCCTCCTTTATGATTTCCTAGCATGAGTGGTAAAATTTCCCTGAGACTCCATCAGGACCTAGAGCACTCTGTGAACTCATAGAGAACACCACATATTTCAATTTCTCCAACGTAGGTAATGTTGTTAATATATCATTATATGCTTCCTCAATGGTTTTAGGGATACAACTCAGAACCGAAAAGTCATTATGGCAACTTTCCTTTTTGAATTGTCTCTAAAAGAAAGAGATAGTTTCTCTCGCAACATCCTCCTCCCCATCAACCTAGCATCCATATTCTTTCCTCATCTTCTTCAAAGTAAGCCTCTTCTTTCTACCCTTAACCACATAATGAAATAACTTTAAGTTTACTTCCCCTTCCACAAACCATTTCACTCCAGATTTCTGCTTCCAAAAAGACTCCTCCTTCTTATAGGCTCTAATCAGTCATTCATTAACTTCATTTAAGGCAGTTCTGTTCACTTCATTATTATCAGCAATTAAGTTGGCTTCTAAGTCAGCTACTCTGCCTTCCAGCACTTTAATATTATCAAAAATATTGCCAATAGAACTCTTAGACCATTCAGATAACTTCTTGCAAGTATACTTCAGTTTTAAATAAAATCTCCACATTGGTGATCCCTGTACATCAATACCCCAAGCTTGCTCCACCACTGCATTGAAGTCTTCTTCTTCAGTACAGAAATCTAGAAACCTAAAGTACTTTACATGTTCCCTTTCTGTTAATTTTGCCATAGTAAAGAGTGGAGAATGGTTAGATCATGTCCTGATCAAGTGATTTACACTAGTAGAGTTAAACAAATTCATCCAGTCGTGGTTTACAAAAACTCTATCTAATATTTTTCATATCCTCTCCGCAGGGCACCATCCATTACACCATGTGAAATTTGAGCCTGAGAAACCAGGGTCCAATAGTTCACAATCCATAATACATTCAAGGAACGGCAGGCTCTTGGTCATACTATGTGGTCGACCACCCTTCTTCTCACAAGGATCCAAAATACAATTGAAGTCTCCAGCAATTAACCAAGGATTGTTGTATTTTTCTGCATGTCATTCAAGATATCCCAAAGTCCTTTCCTCTGATCTGCATCACACTTAACATATACAGAGGAAATCAGCACTACAACCCCATCCCAATTGACAGAACATGTTACTTATTGTTCATTCTCCTCTGCCATATTACAAATCACCGAATCATTCCAAAAGATACATATTTGACTATTTATATTTGAATGAGCATTTTGAAAACCTAGAATTCTCCTGAATTTATCCAATTTATCAGCTTTATGAAATGGCTCACATATAGCTACAAAGAGGATATTTTGTGATCTGACTAATTGATTTAATCTCTCCGAGGTACCACTAGAGTTAATTCCCCTAATATTCCAAAAGAGATACTTAATCATTAGATACATTTGAAAAGTAATTTGCCTGTGAAGATCCCACAAACTGTTGTTTAAGGTGCTTACCACCCCTTCTTCTTGTTGCTTGTCTGCCCCCTATGCTATTTCCTCTACCTCTGCCCCTGCCCCTACCTCTGATGGCATTGGCAAGCTCTGAAGTCACATTAATATCTACCAGTGATTGTGAGCAAAATGTATCCACCAATATGTTTGCTTGAGCATCAGTTGTTGCACCATTGGATTCCTCTACTGGATCTGTAGATTCTTCACTTACTTTTCCATCACTATCCATACTTGCATATTCATCACTTGCTTCTGAACTTATTTCATCTGAATAATCCACTTCCCCTAAGCCTTCATCTTCTTCATACGATAAATCTGATTGTTGCCCATTCTCCATATTATATTCAAAACACTACTCTGTTCCTCTTCTAAACTTGTGCCACTAATGAGTTTAAGATAGTTATTTTGGACTTCTCCATGATAAACTCCAATAGTGGTCTCACTAGTTTGCATATTCAAGTTGGCTTGATTAATATCCCTTTGCGGGTAGGATACATTTGGATGTGCTCCCTGTTGCATTATTTGCCCATTCTCTCCCTGTATTGAGATATCCATATTGTCAACACTTTCTTTCTTCTCTTGGTTTGTGATAATTGGTTGATTATTACCCTCTTCCTGGATCCAGCTTTCCTCCTCAGTTTCGTTTTTCCTCTTTTTCTTCTTACTGTTCCTCTTTTTCTGCTTGTTATTTGCCTCAGTGTAGTTTGTCGTGTGGTCTCCATTGCCTTCAATTTGACCCTCCTTTGTTACACTGCAAGTATTGTTGTTTCCATCATCTTCTAGTTTCCCTTTCCCTTTTCCTGGAACCTCCTTAATTGTTGAGAAATGTTGATTATCTTTAGGCTCAATGATGCTGATACCAATATTTCTTCCTCCCTTTTGTGTTGGTCTTGCCTCTTGAGTTTCAACACCTTGATTGCATTCCTTGGCTTGTTGATGTTTTGTTGTTTCTTTATTCTCCTTTGTTGAATTATAAAGAATTGTACTCTGATGATCTTCTTTGTTTTGGTGCTTGGTGGTTGGCCCAGACTTCATTTTTGATCCATTTCTTCTATTCACAGTTTGGAAATCTTCATCAACTTTGTTTGGTACTTCTTTTTTCTTTTTTTGTTCCTCTCTCTGTACCTTGTGTTGCGACCAAACACACTCACGCAAGTATACGCGGTCGTCAAGTAATAAAGTGACTAA